AAAAAATAACAAAGTTGGCAATGCATAGCAGTAAATTGGAATTGTACAGATAAACGTATAGTGAATGCTGGATTATAAGTTGAAATTAAATCAATTTTTATTCGAAGTTTCGGTTTAATAATGGAAATAACAATGATATAAGTAAGTGATGAATAATATCATTATTTTGGTAAAAAAAAGAAAATGAAACTTTTACGCAGATATTCAGAAATTTTTTGCTAACGATTGTATTGAGTAACGTACCATTACGTGCAGAATCATTTTTTGATTTTGAGCACTCAGCCGAATCGCGTATAAAGCTTATTTGTAATCAAACTTGATGAAAAAGTCTTATTTGTAATCAAACTAGATAAAAAAAATTATAGATCATGGATTCTGAAGATCATGATCTAAAAGTTTTTTCTGATAGAATTATTATGCTTTATAGATCAGATCAGATCAGATCAGATCATATAAAATTTTATCTAACAAGTTCGTAAAAAATGATCATCATCAAATTCTACACTGTATTATCTGTATTAGTATTGATATTATTCAACAGGAGTGTTTTGTATTCGTAGTACTGTTTTTCAGACGATGACTGGATCACGTAACAACGCTGGATAATGGTTAAAAAAAGAAAAAAAATTTTTGCATCTAAACAGATCTCAATTGTTTTCTCCCAAACAGTAATAGTTACAATGATTTTATTATTATTATTGCTATTATTGTGATCATAAATCGCTAATAATTGTGATATATTCGCAGAATTCGCAAATTTATACTTGCAAACTGTTATGACATTGTAATGTAGCATTTTGTTTGGAAAAAAAGGAAAAAAACAATTTTGTAAACGTCACAAAAAATACTTAAAAATAAAAAAACTATTTTTAATAATTTTGATGGAATTTTTATAATTCAAATGTTATCGAGTTTTAAAAAAAATAATTTTTACCAAATTGGAACTGTACTTTGCTTATTAGTGTGACTAAATTATCTTTCAATTTTGTCATGTTGATAAAAATCTTTTTGATTACTTTTTTCAAAGCAAATCACCGCAAAAGGGTTAAAGTTCAAAAAATGATAAAATAAGCAAAAAATAGATTACTAAGCTTTAACTGAATTTAAAAAACTCTTCGGTAATAAAATATGTCGTTAAGGATTTTAATTATTGTAAAAAAGTAAACAAAAATCAAAATTACAGTTCATTTTAAATTTTGCTCATTAAATATTTTTAATAAACTTTTTTTTACGGTCTAAAATACCACAGTATAAATTAATCACTAATTTATTTGGACAGTAAATAAATTAAACGTTTTTCGTTATTAATTGCGTTTTATTTATAAAAATAACAACAAGTAAGATAATATTGAAATGAATGCAAGTGTTTGGTGTAGAATGCAGTCAACAGTTGTTTGACGTGAATTGACGCAACAAATGTTTGACGTAAATTTGTATTGCCTTGATCCATAACTTTTTATTTTAATAAATTTATGATTCAGTACAAATGACAAAAATAATAAATAATATAATTATAATAAAAAATTGATGCAAAATGTGTATTTACTTGCAACACATTTTTGCAATTTAAATTTACAAAAAAT